GGAGGAGGATTGGCAATAGATGTTAGCTCAGAGCCGGTCTTCCTCAGCAAAAAGAGGAGCATTAGCATGGATGTTAGCTCAGGGCTGATCTTCCTCACACACACAAAAGAAAATCTCAGCTTTGATGATAGAAATACATGTGGGCTCTAGAGTCAGACTGCCAGCCCTGAACCCTGATTCTCTTCTTACTAGTTGTCACTTAACTCTCTGTCAGTAGTTCAAATTCTTTGTAAAGTAGAACTATCATAGAATGTACTTTGAAGTACGTTGGCAGGACTGAATGGTAGCATAAGCACATTTGGCTAGGTAGAAAGTGCTCAATAAATATTAGCCACTGTAATTAATACAATGTTGTTATATAGTTCAGTGCTCATTGTTTTTCCTTTCATTTGTCAGACATGGCATCTACACTTTATATATCCTTATAAATGCAGAGACAAGTAGATATATATCCCCAATTTAGAAACAGGTATCTAAAGCTTTTTGTTCCACATGCCAAAGACCCCACCGATTGGCAGTCTGTCAACTTTGCTCTTTCTCTATTTTGTATCCTTCTGTGGTTGAGGCTCCATAACAGAGGCTGCCTCCCAGAGGAAAATATTCTTAGAACATTCGTGATAAAAGTAACACTACCTTTGTATTAGAGTAACAACGCTCTTACATACCACTTACTCAAAAAAAAAAAAATCCACAGGACATAATCCAAGTTCATAAATAAATCATATGAAGGGAGAACATGTTGCAGAAATACTGCAGATAGCTACAGACTATCTGATTAATAAGCAGGACCTGGCTAGTCTACAGTGAAAAATGCATAATTCCTTTCTATTTCGTTACCTAGTCTCCCTGTAGTGGGTTGCATTGCTGCCACCTTGTGGTCACGTAAAATTTTCAAAAGCAGAATATTGATGCAGTAAAGATGGATGGATAGTGAAAATAGTTCTCTTAATATATGTGCTTTAACAATCCATCAAATACACATAATTATAAATTTTTCCATACTGATTGCTAAAAACTTCCATTTCTGATTTTTTTTAAATTCGATTTAAATTTAAAAGACAAAATACATCTCTGAACATTGGTCATCCTGATAATCCCTGAACTTACCATTAGTGTTCCTTTGGTTATTCGGTGTATCTGTTTCCGTTTCCTCCTCTGAAGAACATGGGGCAGGGGTAGAGGATGAGCAGGACGGGAGGAATGCAAGGGGCCCGTTTCCAGTACTAAATGGTTTTATAGTGTGGACTTAAAAATACTGCTTTGGAGAAATATACAATCCTCCCTAAGGCCTCTAGAAGCCAGCTGACAGAATATGACAGCAATGACCTCTCAGGGTGAAAAAACCTCCTGCCTTATAACTCTCTAGGGCAAGAGGTAGGAAATTTCTGAGTCCACCAGGTATAAGGGTGGCTGTCCAAGATTTATCAGGAAACGCATTTTGAAAAGTACACATCTGGAAAAAAGGATATATAATAAATTTCATCTTCTTTATGTTATTTTGGTGAGTATTCTTTAAAATGACTCTTAAATACTAATGATTATGCTGGTTAGTACTTTACATTTCATGAGACTGAGATGAATCACCAAACACGTAGAGACCCTGGGCTAAAGGAGAAGTCAGTAGCACAGAGATCAGATTTTTATTTGGCATTGCATATACACAAGCGTTGGTGCAACTTCAGTTGTGGAAATACACGTGAAAAAAGTAACAAAATCACCCAGGTGAGCATATAGGAGTTTTTGGAAAGCTGTCCAGCAGTTACATCCTGTTCTGTTCAATTCCCTCCTATTTCTAGCTATTCGTGGACAGTCATGTTGGCCACGACCTTTCCAACTGATGCTGAGCAGAACTGAGCTGTGGGAAGTGCCACATGTCTCTGGGCTTACTGCCTCTCAGCTCACAAATTCTGTGTAAGGGGCAGAGGACTCACACTGTTTTATTTAAAACTATGAACATATTAACCACAGAGAGAAAACCTGATGTAGAAAGGTGGTTTAGAACAGCGGAAAGAATATAAAGTCAAAATAATGCCAAGCTTTCCAAGCTTCAGTTTGTAAAATCTGGCAAATGTATGTAATTAAGTAATGATGCTTTTGTAAACTATACTCTACAAATGTAAGGCACTATATTACAGTAATCTATATTACCTAGCTAAGTCATAATAATAACAGGAAGTTATTATTATATTATTATATTATTAATATTATTTTAATTAATTTTAATATTTAATATTTAATAAATTTGATAAAATTAATAATTTAATATTTAATATTATTAATTAATTTAATTAATTAATAATATATTAATATATTATTATATTATTAAATGACCTAAATTGGTTAGGTCATTATCCATTATCTGACTTACCTTAGTAAAGGCTGGATTTTATTATAGGTCATTTATGAATATTAATAAATGATATATAGAGATAGTTTACAATATTTTTGAGTTTGGCTTACATATCATATCCAAGATACAAAACAGCCAAAATTTTTATATATAAACAAATACTTCTTACCGAGAAAGAGAACATGAATAAATTATTTGGTCTTCAGAGATTCAAAGAATAACACAAAGACAATTTTTAAAAAATGGATATATCTGCTAATTTTTCTTCTCTAAAGATACTATTTGGTTTGTGATATTACTTCAAATATATCAAAAGGGGGCACCTAGATGATGGGGTTTGTAGATGATATTCAAGGCAGACAAATCTCATACTAAGGCACAATGTTAAACCAAAGAGAGAAAATTCATAATGGCCTGAGAGCATGATGATTCATTATGGATTACTTCTGTTAAGTGCAAGTGTGAAATGAAAGACTGCCAAACTGGAGGAATCTAGCCTTACAAAATAAAATTAATTTCTTTACTTTCAGTGATATTATTAAACTTTAAAGGGAGTAGGGCTAAGAAAAAAAGGGGAATTTTAGAAATGTAAAAACATAATGGAATCATTTTTATTAACAAAAATTAAGATAAAAATCACGAAAAGATTTTATGGGTGAAATATTTAGTCATTAAATACAAAAAAAGTATAAGAACTGGCGACAAAAGTATGTACTTTTTAACCCATGAGTAATAAAGGGATGACTAAAATCTATAGAGAATCAGACCTGAATATCTATAATGTCATACACTGAAACAAAAAACAACCAACAACACCTAGATACTTCTCTTCCTTTCTGAACTCAAGTGGGAGAATAAAGATGGAAAAATCTACTTCCTTTTCAAATCATATTATTTATTTTTCTTCCTATTAACCTTAAAGTGATCTTTTTCTCCTTCTAGGAGAAGATGTTTAATGAGCTACTTACATACGATGCACCTCATCTTATGCAAGATTTGGACACATATTTAGGGGAAAAAGAGTGGTTTATTGGTAACTCTGTGAGTATGTTTTACATCTTAAAAAATACAAGCAAATATATATATTTGTAAGTATATATAATAATAGTTATAAAATAAATAGTACATATGTTTTATATATATATATATGTATATATATGGATAAACCAAAAAATTATTGAGAAAAAAATGTTACCATAGGGAGGCAGTAGGTTAGGGAACAGAGATAAAAGCTAAACTTCTTTGAATAAACTTTCTTTGATGGACTTAACTTTGGAACCATGAACTAAAATATTTTATATAATTATATAACAAGAACAACAAACAGGTTTTAAAAGCTATCACTGCAAGGCAAAAGTAAAGTGAAATAAATGAGGCTGTGTCAAATGGACGCACAGAGTACCTAGAGAAAGGACCCATGTTCTCTATTAGTGAAGGACTGTTGTAAGAAATATCATTCGTGGGCCGGCCCCATGGCTTAGCGGTTAAGTGCATGCGCTCCGCTACCGGCGGCTCGGGTTGGGATCCCGGGCACGCACTGATGCACCGCTTCTCTGGCCATGCTGAGGCCACGTCCCACATACAGCAACTAGAAGGATGTGCAACTATGACATACAACTATCTACTGGGGCTTTGAGGTGGGGGGAAGGGAGTAGGATTGGCAATAGATGTTAGCTCAGGGCCGCTCTTCCTCAGCAAAAAGAAGAGGATTAGCACGGATGTTAGCTCAGGGCTGATCTTCCTCACACACACACACACAAAAAAGAAATATCATTCGTAAAACACAGTAACTTGACCGTATGTCTCATTATAGATATTCTCTTGGGACAAAAAATAAAAATCATACACCATCTTGAGTAACTATATTGTTGGTGGTACTGGGTACAGTGGTATTGTTTCTTCTGATACTATTGTCTATATTGTGGGGTCAAACAGTAAGAAATTATGTGGATGTCATTGAGAACCAGAAACTTCAGCGTGGGAGAAAGAAGATGGAGACGTAAGATCAATGAGATTAAGTAAACATCCTGTTCCTTAATGTGAACCAGAAGTAACAGTCGAAACTCAGGATGTTCTTTATCTTAGGATAAAGAAGAAAGCATTTTCTATCTCTTTTTCTTGAAACAATGACCAACCCAGTTGTCCTGGACACTCCTAGGACCCAGATTCTGGTCTCTGAATACCAAGATGAACCAGGGCTTCTTGGAGAAATGGCTCATTCTCCATTTGGAATGGGAAATGTAAATGAGCTGGGAATATGGTGTTGTATCAGATGCAAATAAATTATCAAAGACAACTGGGGTTGTGCCGAAAGCACTCCCAAGTCAATGTGAAGAAGCTGCCACTGGCCAAAAATGGGACAACTCAAGCTTCAATAAGAATATTAACTGCAAGGGGTTGAAACAAATCAAAACGAATGAATCCACGAGTTTACAACAATCACCACCACCACAACCAAACACACACACATACACAAACCCCAAAACCAAACAAAACTTCATTGGTTAGTTTTAGAAGATGCTGTGGAGCCAAACTATTATTCAGAAAACTGTTAAAAACAAACAAAATCGTTAGGGGATTTGAATAAAGCATTTATCTTGCCTTTCCTATGCCAACTGTACCTCAAGATAAAAATTGATGGACAAAGTTTGTCTTCATGAGTATTCCAGTTAATAAGTAAGAGAGAGATTAAAATAAACTATCATCATTTTCCAACCCTTGATGAATTAACGGACCTAGGGATTGACTATTAGTAATTGTTAACATCACAAAAAGTGAGACGACCAGATTTTACAGACCTACTGATAGAGGAGCACACCACCATCTACCTATGAAGTAGTCTTGCCAAAAAAAATCACATCTAAATCTGATTTAGATGCTGTGGTAGGTTGGAGTCCCTGCCTTCTAGGAAACAAGACACAGATTGTTTTTTGTGAGGCTCTTGTGACTGATTCTATTGCTGTCTGACGAGTCCTCCTGGGGTGATACAGAAACAAACTTGCCACATCTTTATTCTCATCTTTCAACTTCACCACTCACCCCTTCATTTCTTCCCTTTGACTCCTCAATACCTTTCCCAAAACGTTCCTCTCCCTGCCCTATTGATTGAATAGTTTCTAAGGACTTAAAATGTTGTTGTTTCTTCTGTTTTCTATTAAAATTCCTGTGTAAACTATCTCCTGACCCCATGTCTTAGCTCTTTCTCCTTCCTCACAGTGTCCCACACATCCTGGTGTTTGGTTTGTTCCTCAGACACAAGTCACACTCCCACCAAGAGCCTTTACACTTGCTGTTTCCTCTGCCTGGAATGCTTAATCCCCAGATCGATGCACAGCTGGATCCTTTTCATCACTCAAGCCGTGGCCTAAATGTCACCTCTTAAAGGTCTTCCCTCCCTGACCTCCTGAGAGTCTCTCTCATCACTTCACTCTTTCTTCATCATCACTCCTATCAGTTTACATGTTTGTCTTCCTGCTTCTAAAATCAAAGCTGCATCAGAGAAGGGGCTTGCGTCACAGCTTGCTCTCCAGTCAACCCCAGCACCCAGACCCGTACGCAGACACAATAGGGAGGAACTGTTGACTGAAATCTGAGCCCTCTGACAAATAGACTCTCCTGGTTGACAGGTGTGTAGTAAGCAAGTTCATAAAACACTAGCAATCAGCATCATTAAATTCCATACAAAAAGAAAACTAAGAATAGTCCACATTTAAACTTCACTCTGATATTCATATGGAGCCAAAGTAACATCATCCAGATTAGTTTCTAGTCACGAAGGAAAAAAAAAAGTGTACAGCAAAGAAACAAACAAGTGTACAAGGGTAGGACCAAGCTGTCATTACCTTAATACGGTGGTCAGTCTTAGGGCCCCACAATGGCCAGGCACCCATGTCTTCTGATGTGATGCAATATAGTGTGTCAGCCAAAAATATTAACTCGAAACTATGAACTCTCTAGAGATAACTTGCACTCTATTCTTTTATATTCTATAGTATAAATGAACAAGTAAACAATGAAATAATTGCATAAATCCTGAAGACAGGACATTCTGCAGGACTAGTGTGGAATCTTCAATAATTCAGTGACATGAAAAAAAAGGGTACTGCTCTGAATTAAGAGAGTTAAATGACATAACCAGATGCAATGTATGGTCCTGGAATGGATTCTGCTTTGTCCTGTAGAGAACGTTTTTGGAACAGATGGAAAAATATTGATTATTAGATAAGATAATGTATTGTCACGGCGAGGTAGAGGTTGAATCAAGTTACAAGAGTATCTATTGTCAGATCTCATTTTAGCAAAAATACACACACACGCATAGAAAAATACCTTATACACAGAGGTGTTATTATAACCTCTGGGTGTTGGGAGTACGGTTATGTATAATTTTCTTTCATATACACATTCTGCTTTTGTAGTAACAGATTATTTTGAATTAAAAAGAAACTAATTTTAGATTAAGAAGTTATACCTTTTATGCTCAAGTGGAAACTTTTGTTTCTTTTAAACTAGGTGAGTTGGGCAGATTTCTACTGGGAAATTTGCAGTACCACACTTTTGGTCTTTAAACCTGACTTGTTGGACACCCATCCCAGGCTGGTGATGTTACGGAAGAAAGTCCAAGCCATTCCTGCCATTGCTGACTGGATACAACGAAGACCCCAAACCAGACTCTAGGTGAGGCCTGCTGCCTCCAAACTTGGTTGTTCTTCACAGCATCGCTCCCATCAGATAAGAAGCTACATTGGCCTGCCACATAATCCACACACTCCCCTCCCCAGCTCCAAGACTTTCACTTTTGCCATATTCTGTTAAAAAGAATAAAAAAGGAAACAAAAAGAGCCGTATCCTTTTTTTCCAGAATAGCTTCAAAACATTTACAAGTGAGGAAAAAGCTTACAATGCAGGCAGGCCTTGCTTTGCACCGGTTCCAACATGCATGAATTTCAGTTACAATGGTTTAAATAATACATTTCTCCCCCCAAATGGTTGGGACTTCAGTTACCAGGCTATGTTAACTGTGACTAATTGCGTAAAGTATAAACTTTGTTGCTAGCTCTTCAGTCCACAAATCACTATGTAAATAACAGATGCACATCATGACTGATGACCAATGACATCACTTCTTTCAAAGTCTGCAATGGGTCACCGCACGTCTGTTACTCATGCACAGACAGCAAAGTGTGTAGTTGCATTGCCTGCTTGTTTCTCGTGATAAACCCATTTGACATTTTACAAAAATGGATTATTGAAAAAGGGAACTCTGTAAACAAAGATGAAAATGCAAAAAAGAAATGAAAGATGATGCTGGAGTAACACAAATGGAAAGAGCTGACTGTGAGGATGCTGACTGCTGCAGTTCAAGAAGCTCTAGGTGTGCTGCCAGAGGAACTTGGTGAAAGCAAACATCTACATAAATGAGGAAAGTGGTTGGAAGAAGAAGATGAGGATTCCCAGAGGAAGTGAGACTGGCAAAAAAAACTTCACATTAAAAGAACAGAGATCAAAAGAATGCGAAGACAAGCCACAGACGGGAGGGAAATATTTGCAAAAGACCTATCTGATAAAAGACTATTATCTAAAATATACAAAGAACTCTTAAAACTCAATAATAAAATGAATAACCTGATTACAAAATGGACAAAAGACCTGACCAGACACTTCATCAAAGACATACAGATGGCCAATAAGCCTATGAAAAGATGCTCAACATCATGTCACTAGGGAATTGCAAATAAAAACAATGAGATACCATTACACACCTATTAGAATGGCAAACATTCAAAGCACTGACAACACCAAGTGCTTGTAAGGATGTGGAGCAAGAGAAACTTGTATTCATTGCTAGTAGGAATGCAAAACGGTACAGACACCTCGGAAGAGAGTTTGGCAGTTTCTTCCAAAACTAAACACACTCTTACCATAATATCTGGCAATCACCCTCTTTGGTATTTACCCAAAGGAGTTGAAAACTTATGTCCACACTGTGGCAGCTTCATTGATAATTGCCAAAACTTGGAAGCAACTAAGATGCCCTTCAGTAGGTGAGTGGGTAAGTAAACAGCGGTACATCCATACAAGGGAATATTATTCAGCACTAAAAAGAAATGAGCTGTCAAGCCATGAAAAGACACGGAGGAACCTTAAATGCATATTACTAAGTGAAAGAAGCCCATCTGAAAAGGCTACATACTGTGTGATTCCAGCTACATAACATTCTGGAAAAGGCAAAACTATAGACAGTAAAAAGATCAGTGGTTGCCAGGGGCTGAGGGGAAGGGAGGGATGAATAGGTGGAGTACAGATGAGTTTTAGGGCAGTAAAACTATTCTGTATACTGTAATTCATTTGTCAAACCCATAGAATATATAACACCAAGAGTGAACCCTAATGTGAACTATGAACTTTGGGTAATTATGATGTGTCAATGTACGTTTACTGATTGTAACAGATGTATCTCCATGCCAGATGTTGATAGTGAGGGAGGTTGTACGTGTGGGGGCAGGGGTATATGGGAACACTTTGTACTTTCTGCTCAAATTTGCCATGAATCTAAAACTCTAAAAAATAAAATCTGTTAAAAAAGAAAAAAAGATGGGGCCGGCCCTGTGGCTTAGAGGTTAAGTGCACGTGCTCCGCTACTGGTGGCCCGGCTTCGGATCCCGGGTGTGCACCAACGCACTGCTTCTCCGGCCATGCTGAGGCCCCGTCCCACATACAGCAACTAGAAGGATGTTAAACTATGACAAACAACTATCTACTGGGGCTTTG